CTCTCTCTCTCTCTCTCTCTCTCTCTCTCTCTCTCTCGCTCGCTCGCTCGCTCGCTCGCTCGTCGTTGTCTTCTTTGCAGGTACGCGACACCTCCTTCCGCAGCGCAGCTATGGTGGACTTCTTCTTCAGCGCACTTCTGCTATGGCGCGTGGAATAGCGCGAACCAGCTCCGATACCAATGCAATCAGACTCGCTTTCTTCTCACTTCGCATGCATGTAAACAGAGGGCAAGTCACTCTGGCGCCAGGTGCCCACACAAAGCTCGGAGATATTACAGGCGAAAACACAGTTCAGATGCAAACTCGCTTCAAGTAACTATGGCGCCTGTGCGCCCTTACATCATCCCTCACAACACTGTATTCTATCAACTTGTTCACACACACACACTTTACTGGATCTCCCTGGATATCCCACGCGCATACACACACACTGAAGACTACTCTAACCTGGCGCAGCTATGGCTGCTCGCTAATTCTAACACTACTAGCAGCTATGGCTGCTCTGTCTCTCTTGCAGCCCACTTCAGCTTCGGGCATCTGCAGAACACGTCGCACAAGATGCACTGGCAGCGCTTCCGCTTGGCTCGCAGCAGCATGAATGAATGGCTGGACACTGCCTCTTGATTTATACTTCTGTAAGTTGCTGGTCTGCCCTTTTTCCACCGGGCCCATGGTGCACACAGTCCCTCATGGTACTTGCTGACTGTACATAGTGAGACTGGGACTGGGTACCGCTGACTAAGCGAAGTTGGACTGACCGCTTGCCCACTTGCCTCTGGTCCGCTGTGCGTAACGTGAGGGAAACTCGAAAGGCCACTTCGGGACCTTCCGGAAGTCTGTGGACTTGGCTGTTCGGGATTGTAGCAGCTACGACCTTGACCTTTCAGGACTGTAGCAGCTATGACCTTGACCTTTCAGAATTGCTACAGCTACAGCCTCTACACAACTATGACCCCTACTGGACAGACTTACAGATCGAACCCCTACAGCTGCATAGACCTACGACAGACTACAGTCAACTACCAAAACACAGGTCACGGGTTCAAACACACAGGGGTCGACTTGATACTGTACACGGGTGTGGTAAGGTCTAGGGATCGAGCCCTGAGATCTGCATCTGCTACTGCTAAGGTGAAAACCGTTTCATAGACCCTTGTGGGGGTTAAATCCTCCACCCTCACTCCCCATTCACCCGATTTCCAAGTCGAGCCTTCGCTCAACAACTCCTTCCAGCCTAATGGGATGCAGTTGATAATGGATTGTAGATTCTCGTCTCGTCGCTGACATCCTTTGAGCTGGGAGGCACGTTCCTGTTCTGTTACCCAATCCTTTTTCTCCTCGTTCCATAGATGGCTCACCCTCCAAACTCCATGTTTGATCCATGAAAGCCATCTCCTTCCTGTAGGCTTAAGGGATAGTTGGTGATCACTGTAATCCCTCACCCAAGGATTACCAAACAGGGTTTGCCTCAGTACCTCTTCTTTGAATTTGGTCTACCCACTTTCCATGGCGTGACGTCCCACCATATCCGCGGCAACGCAGTCCAATATGGTGTAGGGGGTCTGGCTTCATTTGGATCGGTTCCTCTCCGTTGATTTTTGTGCCCTGTACTTGGAGTCCATTCCTTGGTCATTAACCAGAACAGGCCGGACATATTTGCTGGTGTGGCTGTAGGTGCTAAGCCCCTGATGCTATCCAAGGCCAGTTTATTCCATGTTGTACCAGGCTTAGTTAGTAGTTTGACTATCCATTTAACTTGTAAGCCTTTGGTTTCTTGTTTGGGGTCTATGATACCAAGACCTCCCTCGGTTGGTTTCCTTGTGATGTAATGCCATGTTATCTTTGGTATGCAATTCTCTTTGTTGGGGTCACCCGACCACAAGTATGCTCTTGCTTTACGGTTAAGTTCCTTGATTGTATGGTCCGGAACTGTCCAGATTGACGCTATGTACCACATCATTGAAAAAATAGATGTGTTGATGGCTAATGCAAATGATGTGAATGTATTACCCCATCTACCCAGTTTGTTAATTTGTTTGGCTAGGATATTTTGGGCCATTTGAGGGGCAAAGCCATCCTTTGTCAGCAAGATGCCTAGATATCGTGTAGGTGTCTCCGGTGTCTCCCATGTCATGTCTGCCTCAGGGCCTTGACGTTGGGGAATCTCCTCCTCCGATAGCCACCAGCCGATTGTTTTCTTCCAATTAATCTTCATTTCTCATTTTTTAATTTCTAGGTTTCGTCGGGCTTTGGATGATCAATTGCTCAAAGTGAAACACGGGCATGCACTGAAAAAAAAAGGCGCTGACAGCGTTTTGCTGGCTTGTTGTGGCTGTGTTTGCTCGTGATTGTCCTCCTCCTTTTCTCTATATTCTCGTCTACATTCTTTGTGCATGTACTTTGTCTATGTTCTTTGTCAATATTCTTTGTCCGTATTGTGATCGGGGCGGGCTAATCTAGTGACACAGGCGTGGCACATGCTGCGATAGAACTTCTGAAGATTCTGGCGACGACTCCCTCTGGTCTTGTGAGTGTCGTTGCCTGCCCCACTCTTCCCCGCTTGCCTCCTCCCCCTTTTCCCTCAACAAAGGAAAAAAAAAGAGGGAAAACAGCCCATAGTCTTTGTATGTTCTATCCGACTTGTGCGTAGCCTTTGCAAAGCATAACCTCTGGTGCAAGTATGTCATGACCCTCTTCTATGACATGGACTTCAAAAACGAAAAAAGAAAAAAAAAAAACAATGCGAGAACTATGGTTATGGGTTGTGACTCGTGAGCCTAATTCGAAGTTACCAGTTGCTGCTGCCGGCGCAGTGGCCTCGGTCTCGTCTCTGCATGTATTTGCAGCCATATACATGCTCATCTAGCCGTCATTGCGGTCAGATGCATCCCTCCTCATGTGAGTATAGCCTGAAAATTTGTGAAAAAGTTTTTGATCTCTGTCGCAAATCTCGGATTCTCGCTGTGACGGAATGAGTTGTTCTGCTTGCATTATAGCCTCTCTGTTTGCACGGCTGCCTTGGTGTCCAGAACCCCAAATAACGCCACCATCACCCCCATACCCCCATACACCACTCCAACACCCCCAAACCTCCCCCAAACAC